TATTATTATCAGTCTCAATATTCTTATCATTATTAATAGTAGTCGTCTTCTTCTTGTTCGTAGTAGTAGTATGATTACTATGGCTAGTATTATGATTATTATTATTTTATGTATTAGTATTATTATTATTAGTATTACTATTATTATGTTTCTTGTTGTTATTTTTTCTTATTATTTGTATTATTATACTACCTCTTATTGTTAGTATTAGTAGTATTATTCCTCTCCTTATTATCATTATTATTCGCCTTCTTCTTCTTCTTTTTCCTCCTCCTCCTCCTCCTCCGCCCTCCTCCTCCTCCTCCTCCGCCATCCTCCTCCGTCCTCCCTCCTCCTCCTCCTCCTCTTCCTCCTCCTCCTCCTCTTCCTCCTCCTCCTCCTCCTCCTCCTCCGTCCTCTGTCCTCCCCCTCCCGACGTGGCCCCTGGACGTAAGTCGGGCGTGTCCCCCTACAGAGGGGATTTTCGACGAAAACTCAAAAAGAAAGGTCCACAAAATACCCCCAAAGGTAATCCCCTGACTATTTCTTGTCGAAAATCCCCCTGTAGGGGGACACGCCCGACTTAACCCTGGACCCCGCCGCCCTTCACGTGCGGGTGGTGCAGCCAACCCGGATGAGAAGGATGCGCGATGAGGATGCAAAGGGCCTCAAACGCCCATTTCGAAGCGGCGCTTCGAGCGGGGCGCGGCCCACGCAAGTGGCCAAGGATGGACCGAGGAGGCGACGATGCGAGGGTGCCCTTGGGACGGTTGCCCGGCCTCACCATCGTGGTTGACTGTGCGGCCCGACCGGCAACAGGTGGAAGAAGTGTTCCGGCCCTGCATGACACATTTTGTTTGATTCGCGGGTCGAGAGCGCACCTCTTCCGGTCGAAGCTAAGCGGGCCGCGCGAAGATAGGAACGCGGCCTCACGGCAAGGCCAGGAGGAGGCAAAGCCTCGGGATCAGGCGATGCCGAAAACGACGCGCTTGCAAAAGGAACGCCTTGTACAGGAACCCGGTGACGAAGTACCGGCAGAAGCAAAATGCTGTGGTTGGTGTTGCCGTCCACGGCTCAGCCCTGCCCGACACACTCGAGGGGGGGAATTCCGACTCACCCCCCCCGCCCGCCCCCGACGTCGACGTGGATCTCCGTCGAAGGCGGTGCTCTCCGGGAGTTCGGGCACGTATACCTGTGGATGCCATGACAACAGACACTCGAACAACCCTATCACTGAATTCAAGATGTGTTTAACATGTGTAAACACGTCCTGAAAATGTTCCAAACATGTCTTTAACATATCTAACACATGTTTGAACCATATGCTAAGCTTCTTGACAATATTTGGCAACACGCTTCCTCTCCAGTAACCGCCTTCCACAAATGTATACCCATTGGCGCCCCTTCCTTCGTCAACCTCTGGTTGACAAAGACTTGAGCAGGGACCGACCGTCCCGGCTTTCCTATAGTCATACCACGAAATAATCTTAGAACCCAGAAATGTTCTCATAACTAAACAGCGTTCTTATAACATAAGCCCAACGTGATAAAACATAACAGACTCCGCCAGACATGTTCTAATAACATTGCGTGGAAACCACGAAAGGTTCTTAGAACATTGCTTGCTGGGTTAAAGGCGAGCCAAAACGCTTCGCCACTGCTTGAAAGACAGGCGGGGCGCGTGACTTGAAACACGGCTCCCCTGCTCGGGCGAGTCGCGGGGGTGGCGCCCGCCAAATCAGAACACGGGCGCCGGTGAGGAGCGCCCACGCCCAGCCGCCAGCGAGAAGGCGACGGGAGCAGCACGAGCTGGGGAGGGGGGGGAGGAACATCCTTCAAGAAAAAAGTGCGTCCGCCAGCCAAAACACAAAGAGCATCCAAGGGAATCCTCCACGGGATGCACACGGAGAACACAATTATGGACGAGAAATAACAGATACGCAGAACAGACTCAAACATAGCCAGGACATACTCCCAAAACATCGTACCCATACTGTTTGCTCTATTTCTGAATACTCCTCCAGTGGAGGAACGAAAAACCGCCCCAATGGTAGCCCCGCCCGACCCGTCCTTCTCCTGCTGCGACAGGGGCATGCCAGCCACCACCATGTCCGCCATGACTGTGAATGCCTGGCCGGGCTCGGGGCTCGAGGCGTGGCGGGGGGCCCGCGCGCAGGGGCCGCGGGCCCCCAGCAAGAGCACGACGACGACACGACGGCGACGGCGGGCAGCACGAGGCACCAACGGCGACAGCAGCGGCCGCGGCGTCGGGAGCGGGAGGGCGACGGGGAGGAGGCTGGCCACTCTTTCGCCGGAGAGGCTTCGAGGACGCCGGCCGTCAGCGGGTCTTGCCGCAGGTTTCCGAGCAGAGGAGGCGGAGGAGGTGGTGGATGAGAAGTGAGGCTCGGGGATGGAAGGGCAGGTTGGATGAGGCTGTCGACATGTTCGAGGGCCTCCACTTGCTTCAAAAAGCGTCGGAGTTGTTGGCAGCCTGTGGGCGCTTCCGAAACATTCCAGAGAG